CACTCCTAATCCCCAGGTCAGCATAAGTGAAGTGAAGTGAAGTCGCTCAGTCGTGTCTGACTCTTTGTGACCCCATGGACTGTAGCCTAGCATGCTCCTCTGTCTATGGGATTTTCCAGGCAAGAGTACTGGAGTAGGCTGCAATTTCCTTCTCCAGAGGATCTTCCCGACCCAGGGATCGAACCTGAGTCTCCCGCATTGTAGGCAAACGCTTCACCGTCTGAGCCACCAGCATAGGTGAACCTCAAACCAGATGCAGCTTCCGTGGCCAGGACGACGGACAAGGATGGTGGGAAATCCAGTGGCACCAGCAACAAAGTCGAAAGAGGTGCGAATCAGTGATCCTTTCTCTAGGCCTGCCAGATACTTCACAAAATGTGTGTCACATCATGTGGGAAGAAAAGCAAGAAATGCGGCAAAGACAAAAAAGTTCAGGAGTGCGCACAGAATTCATGGCCTCAAGGCTTCTGCTTGTCATTCCGGTTTTTTGTTTGTTTGTTTTTCACAAATGTTGCTATGCAGTAGGTTTTCTGCCGGCCATGCTTCAGGGGCAATACATTTGGCTCAAAAGTTCAAACACGGACAAGATCTTGAGAGGAAGGCAAGGAGCCTAGGGCCACTTGAGAAGTCACTGCAGCCTGACTCAGCCCCTGAGGTTACATGGAGAAGGTCACATTACCTGTCCCCGGGACCTGCAGGCTGAGAACACAGGCTGGAACCAGGTGACCTTGGGTCACACCCACCAGCAGCCCCTGCTCTCCGGGGACCTTGACCAAGTTACTCAATCCACCCAGCCTCAGTTTCCCCATCTTCAGAAGGAGGATCATGAGACCTCCATTAGTTAGCTAAGGCTGCCTTAACACCACACCACAGACTGCAGTTTGAAAAGTGTTAGTGGTTCAGTCGTGTCTGATTCTGTGAGACCCCAGGGACTGTAGCCCACCAGGCACCTCTGTCCATGGAATTTCCCAGGCAAGAATACTGGAAGAAGTTGCCATTCCCTTCTCCAGGGGACTTTCCCAACCCAGGGATCGAACCTGCATCTCTTGCCTTGCAGGCAGGCTCTTTACCACTAAGCCACCTGGGAAGCCCCACAGAAGCAATTCTTTGGGTCACAGTCTGGGGGCTGGAAGTCGAGGACGAGGTGGTGGCAGGCTGGTTCCTCTTCAACCTCCCTCCTCAGCTTGCTGATGATAGCTGTCCTCTCCCTGTGTCTCTTCCCCTTTGCGGTGTTTCTCTGTCTCCATTTCGCCTTTGGATGAGGACATTCACGATACTGGGTTAAAGTCCACCATAAGGACCTCATTTCAACCTAATTCCACCTGTAGAGACTGAAATCCAAACAGGTGCAATTCTGAGGTACTGGAGTTTAGGGCTCCAACGCATGACTCTCTGGACACACTTCAGTCCCCACAATACTTAAGTCAGAGCTTTGCTGTTGTTGTTAAAGTTCTGGGAACTCTTAAAGGACCCTCATGTTTAGAAAACAAGAGCTTGTAACAAGCCTAAAGAATCACGTCCATTCATCAGTATGACAGCTGCTGTTGTTCAGTCACTAAGAGTTGTGTCCAACCCTTTGCAAACCCATGGACTGCAGCACACCAGGCTCCCCTGTCTTTCACTGTCTCCTGGAGTTTGCTCAAACTCATGTCCACCGAGTCAGTGATGCCATCCAACCATCTCATCCTCTGTCATCCCCTTCTCTTCCTGTCCTCAATCTTTCCCAGAATCAGGGAAAGTGGCCAAAGTACTGGAGCTTCAGCTTCAGCATCAGTCCTTTCAATGAATATTCAGGATTGGTTTCCTTTAGGATTGACCGGTTTGATCTCCTTGCAGTCCAAGGGACTCTCAAAAGAGTCTTCTCCAACACCACACTTCAAAAGCATCAATTCTTTGGGGCTCAGCCTTCTTTATGGTCCAAGGGTCACATCTGTACTTGACTACTGGAAAAACCACAGCTTTGACTACATGGACCTTTATCAGCAAAGCGATGTCTATGCTTTTTCATACACTGTCAAGGTTTGTCATAGCTTGATTCTGCTGAGGAGCCTGAACTTAGCCAGGGTTCTGCATAGAATGATTGTCATTGTCATCATCATGCTCAGAGTTCCATCCCTGGTGACAGGCTGTCACCACGGCCATGTCCACCCCCTGGACCAGAGGCAGGAGGTAGACGACCCTATCTGTCCAACAGGGCCACTCATGCTCTGCCAGCCTCACACTTTCTCTGCAGGGGACAGGCTGGCCTGGAAGGGCCGGGCTCAGAGACACAACGTGGGCACCATCACCCCTTCTGATGCTGGAAGGAGGAAGACTTATGGAGGTGTTGCCCACTGCCCCCCAAGTTCAAATTGCCTCCCTAGTCTTGAAGAAGTGTGAATTAATTTTTCTAGACATTATGGCTCAGCTGACTTGTAATGAACAAACGTGCAAGGAATTCTGGATGTTATTTTGCATGGTGGGAGAAAATGACTTTTTTGTCAAGCGTGTTTGTTTCTGGTGATGAGAGCAGGCTAAACTGGAGAACTTGAGACGTGTCTTCAAGACTTGGAGGCCCCCATTCCAGCCGCTGCCCTACGACACGTTTGAATTACTGGCAGGGCTGGTGTGTTCCCAGAATAAACCACTGTGTGCCTGACGGAGGAGGGAATAGCAACTGGCGTGGCAGGTCCCGCAGCCAGGAGGGAGCCTTAATTCCAACCTGGGTTCCTTCAGTGCCCCGAAAGTTCCCCCACACTCTCCCTTCGACCAAAATAAAATGAAAATGCGCTCTGCCAACATATTTCAACTTGTGAATCATTCTGGGGGATTTTGTGATCCTGTATTTCCTCCTGCAAATAAGGAAAGCGGGAGGGCCCCAGGGCGTCTCTGTCCCAGCCTTCAGGACAGTGGCCCAGAGAGCGGAAGGGGCCACATAAAGCATACCCTGGGGGATGGCAGGGCCACGCTGCCCGCCGACTGCAAGGCCAGCGCATCTGCCCCGCCCGCTGTCTGTCTGCGCACCACCCCGTCCCAGGCTGTAACATCCTGTCTTCACAAAGAAGTTCCCTTCAAGCCCTGTCACAGCTGCAACACCCGGGGAACAGCAGGGGGCTGCGGAAGGGGACACAGTTTAACAGCAACCAGCAGGGGCTTGCCCTGGTGGCTGAGTGGTAAAGAATCCACCTGCTGGTGCCCGAGACACAGGTTCCATTGCTGGTCCGGGAAGATCCCACATGCCTCGGAGCAGCTAAGTCACAACTGCTGTGCTGAGAGCCCGTGCTCGAGAGCCTGGGAGAAACAACTACTGGGAGACACAACTCTAGTGCCTAGAGTCTGGGCTTTGCGACAGGAGAAGTCACCGCAATGAGAAGCCTGCACCGCAACGAGAGAGTAGCCCACCCACCCCCTGCTCACCACAGCTAGAGAAAAGAGCACGGGCAGCGACAAAGTTCCAGCACGATCAAAAATAAACAAACAAATTGGAAAAAAGAAAAGCAAACTCAGACTCTTTTCAAGAGGAATCGTTTCCCGGACCCCACACGACTCACTGCAGGCATGACCCGACTCTGCAAACCATCAGGGTTCCCCTGAAATGCTCACAGGAGATCCACCAACATAGAAGAGGCCAAAGTCAAATAGCTTAGAGCTTTGAGTTTAAAAGTACATTCCTGGCTTTTAATCCCTTTGATTCTCCCAGGTCGGAGGGAAACCGCCTATGGCAGCATTTTAGCTTGGCCTCCCCGAGAAGCAGTGTATTGGGGAAACGATCCCCGGGACACAGCTGTAAACGAGCAGAGGGAGGCGGGAAGCGAGGGATTCATCACCGAGCGGCTGCCACTGGGGTCCACTGGAGCCCGATCCCTCGGGGAAAGTGGGGGGGATGCTGTCACACCGGTGCAGTGTCCCCGCATTCTGGAGGCAGGCGCTGGGACAGCTGCCCCCTTAGGTCACTCGCTGGCCAGGGAGGCTCCCGGCCAGAAGGAGAGGGCTCCTCTCTACACCTGCAGGCTCCTCCGAGGAAGGTCTCAGGTGGGGAGAAGCAGGCACCCATGGACACTGCAGGGTGGGGGCGGGCACAGACCACAGACGGCAACACTCCCCGGGGGTCTCCGTCTCACCCCCTCATTGTGACAGCCCGGTTCTGCACTTCAGAAGATTTCCTGGGGCAGATGACAAACGGCTGTGTCTTTCTGAACATGAGGCATTCCATGTTTCATATAACGTTTTCAAAGCTTGATTTGGGATGATCTGTCAGGTAAATTAAACTCTAATTGGAGGCGGAACAACCTAAATGCACAGATATGGGCTGGAATTTATTAGAACATGTGTATGAACTGATGAAAGCTTGCAGGGTGGGTGGGTGGCTGATGATGGCAAAATGAAGGAGTGGAGGGTGGACGGGACAGTCAGTGAGAGAAGATGCTACAGGGATGGGGGAAAGGTGGGGGACAGGGGAGGAGGCAGAAAGTGTCCCCCTAAAGCCCCCTAGAAGGTCCTGAAGAAACTCATGATGCAGTAACAGAAGTTAAGAAATCAGGGTTGATTTGAGAACATGAGTCTGTGCAGGGCAGAAGCATGGACATTTCAAGGACAGAAGAACTTCCAACTGGACACAAACCCCAGGAGAGGCAACTGAGGTCTATCAATAGGGAACTGGGTAGCTCGTATACACATCTGGGCACCCACGGTCCAACAACCCCCTGCCATGCTGAAAGCTGCCGAGCGGCCCCACCACTCATCTCCCAACTGTCCTGTTCACAGAACAAGCTCCTCAGTTGTTATTCTACAAGACAATCTTGAGGTTCTTCAGACCACCCCAAAATAGCCTCCGATCACTCACCCTTTCAGACCAATATTGACTGTACCCCCCAAATGCAAGGGAAGAGGCCTGTTATGGGAAAGGAATTTAGCTACTATTAGCCTCTATCTGAAAATAACCTTTTCATAATAGACTCTTTGGGATATTTTGGGGATTGGGGATTTCTCCAGTGGCAATTTACCCTTCTCCCAAAACAAACCTCAGAGCACAGCCCTTCCAGGCTCTGGGAAGACGGGGAGGAGCGGGGAGGAGGGATGTTGACTGGAGACCTTGCAATCTGACCACTGTGCTTGCTGTCTGGATCCTGTACCCTGGCAAGGACAGAAAACACACTGTTGAGAAGATGCCCCTAAGTTTAAAACATTCCAGAAAGCTTCTGGCCAACTTGTCACCATGAGACTCACACCGTCAGTTATAATAAATCTCCTCTTTTCTTACTATACATGAAATAAAAACAAGGGAAACTCATGGCCGCATGAGACTGGGTACAGAAAGTGCTTGGTGATGGAGACTCTCCTAATTCTGATTTTGGAGTTTGGGTTTGGGGGGAATTTTCTGTTTTCTTCCCTTTTCTTTTTTTTTCCTTTTGAAAGTTAACATTAAAGTTTCAAGTCTCTTAAAGCTAAAATGCAAATCCTGTTTAAAAACCGGAAATGTAATAAATGAAAACTTTAATAAACATATACCTGGTAGTTCAAAGAATCTCTTCTACAATTACAGAATTACTTGCACAAAAAGAAAAAATGTGTCTATGTCACTGTTGATCCGGAAAGCACAGGGAAAAGGCTGTGGAAACCCTAATGATAGAATTCTATCGTATTTTCCAAGAAGCAGGGCCACTGGCCCGTCAGCCCTGTGCATCCAGGGAAGTCAGGCATATGGATCAGCCACCTGTGCTTACATCTCACATCCTTGTCCAAGGCTTGAGAGACTCTCCCCTCTTACAAGATGCTGGTCCCCAAAACTTTATCAAGGCCCTTAATATACAAAAAGTGAAAGTGAAGTCGCTCAGTCATGTCTGACTCTTTGTGACCCCATGGACTGTAGCCCACCAGGCTCCTCCGTCCGTGGAATTCTCCAGGCAAGAATACTGGAGTGGGTTGCCATTTCCTTCTCCAGGGGATCTTCCCGACCCAGGGATTGAACATGGGTCTCCTGCATCGGAGGCAGATTCCTTACCTACTGAGCTATGATGTACAGACCTTTCTATAATCTAAAGAAACCTACCTTCCCCATAGAAGGGGGCCTGGTGCTGCCCACCCGCGCACCCCAGGGCTTCTGTCAGCCTTGGCAGATGCAGTGAGGGGCGGGGAGGGCCAGCAGGGAACCTGCAGACCCCTCTGAGAGCCTCAGCCTCTCCAAGAGGGTCAGAAACCTATCTCGTGTCACTGCCTCAGGCAACCATTTCCAACAACCACGGACACATCCCAATCCCCCAACGGCCCCATCACAACCCATCTGCCTGCAGAGTAGGTACGCTTCTTATATTAATAACATCCTCACGGCAGCCTCGCCAGCCAAGGTGAAGGAACCATCTCCCACCTGAGCCCACGTGTCTACATGCAACTCTAAACGAGTGCCCTGCAGAAACACGCACGCAGGACTCCTTCCTACACAGAAACCCAGCTTTTCTACCTAATCTCTCCTCACTGCCTTCTTGATCTCAAACTGTGAGCCTGGCTCCAACGAAGGAGAATTCAGACCAGAACCAATGTTTTCTTTGTCCCGGTTTTTGTTGGTGGTGGCGGTGTTCTTCCTTTCCACCTCCGCTCCTCTCTCAAAGGTTCTCCTTTAACATTATTCCTCTTTTCTGGGCCACTTCACTGATTCTTCTACCGTACTACTTGAGCTGGTGGGCCAGTCGGTGAACAAGAAAAGTTCTAGACTAGACCAATCACGTGTTAGCACAGTTACCCGAGAGATCCTGCTCCAGGGACAAGCTCCCTTACTGGATGTGAAGTGTGTACCCCATGCTCTTCTCCAGGTGAGGACCAGGGCCTGGATCAAATGCACCTCAGTGACCCCACTTCCTCACCCAGGGACTAGAACTCACTGTGGTATGAGGGCATGAGCCAAAACCCCTGAGTCTCACCCGAGATGTGTCAAGAACCAGTTGGAAGACTTTCACCCATCAAAAGAAGGGAAGGAAGGGCGGGAGGGAAGGAGGGGGAAAAGAAGGGAGAATGGAAGAAAGAAGAGAAGGGGGGGAAGAAAAGGAAGGAAGAGGAAAGGGAGTTGTTGAAACCACGTGGTTTATCTGGTCCTCTTCTAATGATCTTTCATTCTGTCATTTTCTCTTCTGACATGGGGTTCAGGCAGTTGACACCTAAGTGGACATCACATGATGTCCAACTCTACAGATTCTGAGAAGGAAAGGACGCAAAACAAAAGGCTTAACTTAGGAGAACAACGCGTTGAGGAGCCGTGTAACATGGGAGGAGGAAGGTGGGGTGTGGAGCGGGCTGAGCTCAGTCAATGCCTCCGGGAACAGGACAAAACCAACGGGGCGATGCATCTGATCAGAATGTACTGCATGCTAACTCTGGAGAAATTCTTTCTTCTGTAAAATGCACGGACATATTTCGACCCAAAGACCCCTTGCTTGGCCAGTGAGGGAGAAAAATACACTCATGCAATTAGTCGGGCTCGCCTTGTCAGATATTTAGAGTCTGTGTCATGGGAGAACTGCAGTGCTCTTTGACCCGGCCTCTCCGGGCCCCAGGGACGCTCTGTGGGAGGGAGAGCTCAGGAGAAATGTCCTTGCAGACCTCAGACACAGACAGTTTAGTCGCTGTTGTTCTTTGCTGTTCACTCAGTCGTGTCCCCACGGACCCCACGGGCTGCAGCACACCAGGCTCATCTGTCCTTCACTGTCTCCTGGAATTTGCTCAAACTCATGTCCATCGAGTCGGTGATGCCATCCAACCACCTCATCCTCTGTTGTCCCCTTCTCCTCCTGCCCCCAATCTTTCCCAGCATCAGGGTCTTTTCCAATGAGTCAGCTCATTGCATCAAGTGGCCGAAGGATTGGATCTTCAGCTTCAGCATCAGTCCTTCCAATGAATATTCAGGACTGATTTCCTTTAGGACTGATTGGTTTGATCACTTTGCAGTCTAAGGGACTCTTGAGACTCTTCTCCACCACCACAACACAAAACCATCAATTCATCAGTTCAACCTTCTTTATGGTCCTGGATCTCCCCAATCAACCTGCTGCTCTCAGACTTGCTGCCTGATTCCAGACCACATGTACATGTTCCCCCGTTCTCTGCGACTCTGTGTTGGAGATGGCCTCCTTATCCACCCATCTATCAAAATCACCATTATGATCATGGGGTCTCCCAAGGCCAAGACCAACCAAAGACCCCAAAGATCCAGCATTGGCCTCACGACGGCACAGACCACAATGAGGGCAGAGGGCCATCCAGGCTGTGTGAGAGGGTCTGTGCCAGGCACTGGGGGGTTCAGCCTCCAGAGGTTTGCCATGCAGGGGATCAATGCAGACATAGGCACAAATAACTACTCAGAACAGAAAGAAAAGACATGAGGTTTTACGGCTGCCCAGTAAGTGTTCAGAGTTTTATCTGTTTACATGGATTTAGCCACGACTGCAGTCCAATGGGATATTTTTATCCTAACCTTACAGATGAAGAAACCGATCATTAGTGGGTTAAAGAGTTCTCACAAAATCTTAGGTGTCTTTGGTGACCGATGGCAGATTTCCAAATGCCAACGCCAGAGATAATGCCGTCCACTGCTCGCAGTTCCCAGAAGAGACCCAGATTTCCTGGTGAACTCATCATCAATCATGCTTCAGAGCAGAGGAGCTGTTTGTGTGGCTCTGAGAGACTGGTGGGATGCTGCTAAGTGACAGGAAAGAGGTGCGGGGCAGAGGGACAAGGGAGTGATGGGAGGTCACAAACTAGGGGCTGGAAAGGAAAGCCCGACCTCACTAGGTCATGAGAAGGAGCCTCCTCACCTGGAAGACCACCCTCGTCGGAACTCCCATTTCTTAGTGACGTGTGTCTTTTGAAACAAAGTATTAACCAGCTTCTTATCACACACCTCATCTCTCCAGACATGCTGACGTCTCCGTGAAGGCTGGATCTCTGCCAAACATCTTCGGATCCCCAGAAGCTCTACTCACAGAGCCGCCCATGGAGTCGATGCTCACCGCAGTGTAGTAAGTGCTCAACAGCGCGTAAGTCAGCGCTTAAATGAACAGATAGCATCCTGAGACACACAGTGTACTTTTGCAGGAATTCAACCGCAAAAACAAAATACCCCCACCCCTTAGAAATACTTTGATTTTTTTTCCTGGTCTGATCTGTGCTGCCCATTATCATTTGAACATCTGACTACAATGAGAGAAATAAAACGTAATCTAAATATATATCAAATACCTATGAAGCAACCAACCTCTCTGTAATGCAATAAGAGGCAGTAAGAAACCCACGGACTGTTTTAACATCAGACATAAAGAGAGAAATGCATTTATTACTTCTTTTTCCAATTACAAAAGAATGGCTGGACATTTTAAAGAGAAAATACAAGAAAAGGCATAAAGAAGACAAGTGATACATCTACAAACAAAGGAAAAAATGAAGGGGGCCAAGTTTATTCCAAACATCTAGGCAGGCTGTTTTAAAGCTCTCTCCAAAAGCCCTCCTCCCCACCACACACATGCACACACACGCACAAACACACCCCCCCCAAAGTGGCATTATACCAACCAACGGCTTCACACAATCCCATTACTGCCAAGTTCAAAAGCAAAGGCAGACAGTACTTTCCTCTGTCCTTCTCTTCGCGCTGAAGGAAGTAAACAAACCACTTGTGAATGGGAACACAGCAGAGATCCCGACACCCTGCCTGCAGCTCCTCGTCCGTCCAGGCCAGTGGGGGCAAGTACACATAGACACACAGTGGGTGATCGGCAGGCACGACTGCCAACCCCTCTGCCTCTTACAGGCGAGTAGGCGGAGGGCAGGTGAGATGAAAAACACCAAGCAGAGAGCAAGCTTGTGGCTCCTCTGACTTCAGGAGTTCTCTCCCTGCACACGCTAAGTCTGAGCTATGAACGCTTTGTCTTCATATTCAAAACTGGGTTAAATGCCTGGTTACGGTTTGGCCACCACTCTCCATCACGCACGCCTGGCCGCTCCCCTCTATGGGCGGTCACCACAGAATGCAGGGATCTGGCTGGACTCGCCCCCACCCGACCTGCTAACAACACAGAAGCAAAGGCTCCCTCTTCCCACTCCGTCTTCCGAGCATCGGAGCAGACTGTCACTAGACTAAGCTTCAAAAA